AATGCTGGAACAGTTTTGTTTTTTTGTTTTTTTGTTTTTTTGGTTTTTGGGTTTTTTGTTTTTTTTGGTTTTGGTGTGGAAAGAGTTATGTTTCGAAAAACCAACAAACCAAACAACCAAAAAAACAAAAAACTAAAAAACCAAAAAACCAAAAACAACAAAAAAAACAAAAAACAAAACTGTTCCAGCATTCTCCGTGGAGCTTTGTTTTTTTGGTTTTTTGGTCCCAGGCTGCATTCTTGTGTCAGCCACGGCCTCTGTTTAGAACTAAGACCAATACATATACTAATACTAAACTAACCCCAATACCAAGATTTTTTATTCCTACGACTATTAATACTCATATTTGTATTAATATTGGTACAAGTCTGAAAGTTAGTATTAATAATATTGCTACTAGTGATATTGAACTGACTACAAATACTCCTACGAACACTAATAGTCACAGAAGCAGTGATACGAATATGCATACTAATATTTATGCTAATACTAATTCTGCTACGAAGTTCAAGAGTAATACTAATACCTACTAATACAAATACAAATCATCATATTTCCATGCGAGTATTAACACTAATACCGTTCTTAATACTAATGCCAATATTTATACTAATATTAATATGAATATGGCTACTACTACTCCTACAAATACTAATTCGCATACTCTTATGGACTTATGGTTGCTAATAATAATACCATTGCCAATACTACTACTGACATTGATTCGTCGAGCATATTAGTATTCATACGAATATTGACACCTATATTAAGGCTACTATGGGTATGCATCATACCAACATAAATATTGACATTAATACTCCTGCGAATACCAATAACCATATTCATATTGATATTAATATGTATATTGACACCAATACCAGTACATACATGCATATACTCATGTATATAAATATTCATTTAGATATATTGAACTACAAATAATATTAAATATACACTAACGCACGCATGCATTACTATATTAGTATTTTCATATACCAATACACTAATATACTACTGTGGTAATATATGAGTATACTAATATACTAAGATACTAATATACTACTGTGTTAATATACTAATATACTACTATGCTGATATACGAATGTAGGGATAAAATAATATACAAGTATACTGATATATTTATAAGATTAATATACTAATATCGTCGTATACAAGTATACCAATATACTCATGTACTAATGTACGAATACACTAACAAATTTATATACGAATATACTAACATACTAATATGCCAACATACTACTGTATTCATGCACCAACGTACTAATTCATTTGTATACTAATATACAAGCATACAAACATACTACTTTACTAATGTATATACCAATAGACTAACATACTAATATACTTATATACCAATATACTCATGTACTCATGCACCAATGTACTGCTAGATTAATATATAAAAAAGAGTACAGACACATGCTACTTCTAGACTTAATATACTAATGCACGATATATTATATGAATTTGTTAATACACGAATTTATTGGTATACTAACATATCAAAACTCGTTCTAATATTATACTAATACGAGTACTTCTGCAAATATTAAAACTGATATCAAAACCAGCATTAAGACTGACTAATACTAATATGCACGAACACGAACATGAACACTAAGACTAATAGTAAATTTTACTTACCAATACTGATGTTAATACGCATATTTAATACAAATACTAATACTAATACTGATACCAGACTGATACTAGTACTAAGATCAATACTACCACAAAACTATTTCCAAGTATTAACACTGATACAAGAATTAAGACTACTACAAACAGTGTGGTGCTAAGGTTTGAACTAAGCACGAGACTGAGTCAAGACCAGGACTAAGACCAAGACTAAGACTAAGATTAGGACTAGGGGCTTTGCATGAACGTGTAGACATTTCCAAAATTGCCAAACACCTTGAAAGTTGTAAACATGTCAAACAATCCAATAATTTTAAAGAATTCCAGACAAATTTTAGAATCTCCAAAAATCTATGCCCTGGCTGGCAGAGTTGGTCCGTAACATTGGGGGGAGAGTTAAAAGCAATTTGGAAACACTGGAAAGAAATGGGGAAGGGAATTTTGGAAACTTTTGAAACTTCGGAAATGAGTTTGGGCGAGCTGATTGTCCCCATCCGGTGGCAATGAAGGCTGGGGACGGACACCGCCCTTCCCCTTCCCCACGACGGTCTGTCATGGGGGGGGGGGGTGAGCGTCTATATCTATACACATATGTGCGTGTGATTGTGTGTTCTGCGGCGGTCTGTGGCTTATGCTTTGATATGGCGCAGTACCAAACAGATGTTCACGTCTATGTGATCTCATATCAAGAAAACACTAAGATATGTGCCAAGATATACAAATTTGCACACGTTCACATGTCTTTCTCTCTCTTTCTCGACATATACATTTATATGTAGTATATATATATATATTAATACACATATTCATTTACACACACAAATATGCATGTGCACCGCCAGATGACACTTTCTGGTGCTATCCCACAGAGATCACCGGTCTCGAAGGGCACTCGGCAAACACACGGAGCCAACCACCAGCCTCCGCCAACTGCGCCCAAAACGCAGAGGAGTCCATGGTTGGTGCTCCGGATGGCTTCTGCTGCACGAAACCGGATTTCAAACACAGCCTCTAGGTCATGCCCATGGTGCCGAGCCCTTAAGAGGACTGACAGCTTCCCATGCGGATGCACATTTGCTGACGGTGTTCAGCGGACCTAGTTTCCATGCACCAAAACTCTTCCTCAGCCCGGCATCGAGCAGCGTCTCGATCAACCAACGTCGGGACTTGGCGATCAAAGAATTTCTGGGCTTGAGGCAGAGGAGACCTATGACTTTCGTGTCCAAGTATTAGAAGTGGCATCGCTCTCATGCTTAACCTGAGCTTTACTCACACAGCTGTTCATCGCTTGACCATCCCGCTCCTGCGCGGAACAGGTCAAGCTCAATGCCCGAAATTTGAGACTGCGGCACACCACTTAAAAAACATGCCTTGCAAAGGCCCTGAACCTCAAACCCTCGTCTGCCTGGAGCCCACACATCTTGTTCCAGCATCCGACTGCCACAATTTCTAACCTATCACTTCTCACTGGCCTACAGCACATACTTGCACGATTTTTTTTGCACAGCGCCCTCTATGTACAGGCGGCCTTGCCTCAGCTACTTGGTGCCGAGGCTAACCTCGCGAGATCAGAGTCCAAGTCAGACAAGCAGAAAGTCCTACTTGCGGGGGCTGAGGGCTTCGGGAAAAGTCCAGGAATCAGAATAATCTGGCACTGGCACCCTTCCCTGCGATGGCACCCTGTGGCTGCAGTCCAGTGACGAAAAGGCTCTGGTAGCCGAACTCGGGTGCCGCTTCCTCCTCCATGTCCGGCGAGGCCATAGAGACGACGACCATCTGAGCGGATGCCGGTCAAGGAATCACTTGTGCAGTCAGCCAGAGACCTGACATCTTGGTCCATTGCCAAGTCTAGAAGTCTAGAGTTTTCAACGCTCCGAAAAGTGAGAGTAGAGCCCTGCCACACCCCTGCACGTACCGCCAGCCTCCGGCTTCGGCTTCTTGTGACGTCCCTTCGGCCGAGGGTTCGACCTGCACAGCGCAACGAAAGTGAGCAGCACGCATCGTTTTGAATTAGCTTGCGTGATGCGGTGTCGCAGCATCAGTGCATAGGAATTGCGAGCAGGTGCGGTGAACAAGCCAACGACAACGGCAGAAGTGGAGCACAAAGAAGTACTGCTGGCACAGGGGAGCGTCCATCACACCCAAAATCCGGTTCTCGAAGCCGTCGTGCCATTACTACATGGTGAACATGGTGCAGAGCGGCGTTGGTTCCCTAACCACTTCGATGCCAGAAGTCAGCAGTCCGGAGTCCGGGTTTCCGACCCCAGGATGGTTTGAGGTTTCAGGGTCCAAAGCTGCAGCCCAAACCGACGCCTGAACTCCTGAACTCCCTAGGCGGGCCTGGCGCGCCCAGGTGGCAGTGGAACCTTCTGCAAGCCGTCGCCTGCGGTGAAAGCTTCAGGGCTTTGGGAGTTACAAGGTTTGGCGGTTGGAAGGAAGACCTCTTCCCCATGCTCCACATGTATCTGGGGCACCGGCTGGCTCCAATTGCTTGGAACCCGGAAAGGGCCGGGGAATAGTCCTCCAGAGGCCAGACGGCTTCGGGCGTTCATTGGGCTTGGGATCTTCTTTCAGTCAGGGTTACCTCTGCCGTCTTTGGGTTTGGTATCTTGCAGCCATCGTAACTCTTTCCTCTACATCATCTGCTGTGGAACTATCGTACCGACATTGGCAGACCCTCTTCGCAACAAGCAGCAATCTGACTAAACAAGCGTGCCAATGTAGGCTTGTTGAGACTCCTGTCGTCCAGCAACGAAGAACTTTTCACCAGCAACATCGTGAAAGCTCCCCACGATCTGAATTTTCCATCTAAGTCCCAACACTAAGTCGTCAGCTTGACTCATGCTCATCTCAGTAGGAGTTGCTGATCGTGTTTAAGCATCCCTTAGTGGCGATCGCAAACTCTTCCATTTACCCGTAAAGCAAAGAGCCCCATCCCTAAATTTAGAACCTCTAAAACCCTAAAGCCCCAAACCCTCTTGATTGTTTAGGGTTTAGGGTTTAGGGTTTTTTGGCAGCACAATCACTCTGAGCTCCAAGCCTGTAGGGTTTAGGGTTTAGGGTTTAGGGATTTAGAGCCCCAAAAACCCAGGCCTGAAGGCCTGGCCGGGGGGGAAGCTCGTAGTCACGGGAGCCATCCTCGGGACCAGCTGCTTGGGCTTTGGGGTTAGGGCCAGGACGACATTTGGGTGGTTGTCAAAATTATGGTCCCTTTTTGGGTCCTTATTATAATACGGCACCTATTATTGAGGGTACCCCAAAAGGGACCATAATTTTGACAACTACCCATTTGTGTCCTGAGTGATTAGAGCAACCCCTGTAGCAACGCTTCTAGTAGGCCTTACAGAAGCCTTGAGCTTCTCCATGGTGATCTAGCTGTTTTCACAGTCTACTTCGATGTCTTGATAGGCTTCAGGGTAAAGCGACACTGCGGAAAGTATCGGGTGATTCCGAGCGAGGTAAAACACGGCAAGGACTCGGAAAACCAAAACGAATTGCACCGTGAATTCCAGGCTTGCACGTCTGTCTTCTCTCTCTGTCTGTCCCTCTCTCCCTACATGCATGTATATATATATATATACACACACATGAATATAAATATGCGCACATATGCACATGCATGTGTGTGTGCACATACGTAGTTTTTCGAAGTGTAGCTCCTTGTATATGTTGATGGTGCCATATGGTGCGCCATGTGAACCGGCTTGCATCTTCGGCGGCCTTCACGACTGAGTGCGACGCGTGTCATATACATATATATATATATATATACATACACATCTATGTATGTCCTTGACCTGGTTTGCTGCCTTAGCTTCTCGGGAATCAGATCCCTTGAGACAGACATATAAATAATAGAGCTCGGAAGCCATCATGCCTTTACTTGTCTTTGTTTGTCTTTATTCGCCTCTCGCCGCTCAGCTTGTTTATTTTTGTTAGTTTTTGTGTGTCTCGTGTTTGTCTTTATATGGCAGCATGCTTGCACAAGCCCCTCCAAGGGATCAATGAGTATAAGTCGAACATGTACTACATGTCACTGCTACATTCTACACCGGTCACCTGAGCCACATATATGTCTATGCGTACATATGTCTCTGTATATGTATATGGTCCATCACCAGGCCAAACCCCTGAACACCTCATGCCTGCGCTCTACCTAGACTCAGGTTTGCAGTCTTCTCTGGTAACCCCGGCCTACACTATGGAGGATTCAAGCCTTCTCTCGATCACTGTAGCGACTGTCGCGGGATCATCAACAATCCTTCATTCCCTTCGGAAAGCGCCGATGAGGGCGCAAAACCAAGACGGTTCAGGACAACCCCGAAGACTCTCTTCAAGGGTAGTGTGCCCTCATGCCTGGAAAAGCAACCCGGGAATGGACTCGGAACGTTGCTTGTGCACAGACGACGAGAACAGCAGCGGCCTTCGCGCTTGAGAAAGCTCAACTTGACTCCGAAAGCCGAGGTTGTAAACCCCAGCATCCCTCAACCCTGAACCTTCAGAACATGAGTCGCCCTCAAACCACGGCTCCTCCAGGCAGTCCCGGTTGGATTGCGGCGAGCCCAGACCTGGGACGTCTAGGCATCTTACAGGCTTTGAGCTTTTCGAAATCCCGTTTGGGCTTGAGGTGTTTTGAGTCCGGATGTAGGCTTGAGCAGTTGGTTTGCAGTTTGAGGCTTGGGGTTTAGGTTTTGACTTGTCCAGTCCTGTGCCACTTTGTAAGCTCTGTCAGGCTTCGAACCATGAAAACGGGCTCCATTGATTGTTGTTGAGGGAGTCCTGTGCATCAAGAATATGGTCGGGGCCGACCCTATTATAACAACAGCTACTATGATCATGGTTAATACTACTGTTATTATTGTTCTTATTACTGTCTTTACTATTCTTATCATTATTGCTACTGTGGTACGATTGTTATTACTAATCAGTAGTGTTATTATTGCTTATTCTACTATCATTATTGTGTACTTTGACATTGTAAACATGAAGCGAACTGAAACCTATTCAGGATGGCCAGGACCACTGAGTTCATCAGCTGCTCTTTGCACTCCCGACGCTTGTTTCTGCTGCTTCAGGGTTCAGGGATTAGGGTTTAGGAAGGTTCATACATAGTATGAAAAACAAAGAATCATGGTATAAACAGTACTAGAAATCAGACCATGGTCCAGGAGTAAGAAGCTGAAGCTCAAGCACTGATGTGAAAAATGCTGTTGGCCCCTCAGTCTCTCATGATTTTCTTGTTATTAGCACTGGGAAAGAGCTATGAGTAAAAGCGTACCTTCTATTCAGTCAAGCTTCAAAGAGGCACTGCGCTGATCACGCGCTTCGCCGCTGGCTGCCCATCCCAGACAATGCCTCGCGCGAGGGTTCAGAAGCCTGGACACTCCGTGTGGAATTTTCAGCTCCCATTCTATTTTTCCGGCTTAGGGTCCAGCCCTCTTCCCGCTTCCCCGCTACTTTGCCGTTCTCTGGTGCCTGGATATTGGCAGGCCTGATCGCGCGGAGTGTTTCAGTCCGCGCGAAAGCTTCCCTAAATATGCGCGTGCGCTCAAGAAGAACCAAGGCCGCGCTTGTCGAGGCTTGCAGTTGCTGCGACGTTAACTACCTAGTGCTGGTAATTGCTAGCTTTTGTACTGGTGACTGCTACTATGACGACTACGACTGCTGCTGCTACTACTGCTATGACTCGACGAGGTAGTAGGTGCTACTTTAACTTTCCACTCCTGCTATGATTCTACGAGTTTTTGTAGTGCAGAAGTACTCCTCGAAGTATTGGGGTCCAGGATGGTCCAGGTCTTCCTAACCTAAGCTCCCCAACCCTCAGCCCTATAAACCTCTACACCTTAAAGGCCGCCACCCCGAAACCCTAAAGCTTTAAACCGTAAAGCCCTAAACCTCAAACCCTAAACCCTAATACCAAAACCCCTAAATGCGTAATGTAGGGGCCTGAATGACTCGAGCGGTCTTGGCGTACTATAACTATACTAAGACTTAAAGAAACCCAACAACAAAAATTGATAATTGTTTAGGCCTCTATAGTAGATCCTCTGAAGGCCCGGCCCTGTGGCTGTGCTTTCGTGGCTCGCTGCCGCAAATCCGGCAGAGCCTCTGAGAGGGTTGCATCAAGACCCTTAGGATGTAGGGTTTACTTGGAGGTTCATGGGTAGTTATAAGTGGGGTTATAATTAGGGTAACTATAGTTATAACCCATATTACGGGACTTATAACCCTACTTATAACTACCCATGAACCTCCAAGTAGGGGCCCCGAAGCTCAGGTGGTCAGGCAATTTCTGTTGCTGTTGCGACTAAAGTTGCGGTTTCTGCGGCTGTGGTAGCTGCTTTTTGTAGTAGCTGCAGCTACATGTGCTGTTTCTGTTGCTATCCTGGCTTTTCTGCGGCTGATCTTAATGTTTTCTGTTGCCGTTGTTCTTGCTAGCATTGTTCATATTGCTGTTACTCTTCTTGCTGTTGTTAAGGGCAATACCAGGGAGTTGGAAGCGATCTATGACCTATGTGATTGTAGAGGATTAATTACAGGCGTTCATTGTTGATCGGCCGCTTGTTGCTAATCTCTTTCTCGTCGACTTGGTTTGGGAGCCCCTTGCTATTGTGTTGCGGTAGGCTACCGTTACACCCTTCTTCGCTCTGTCCGCTCCCACTTCTCCTGAAATCCTTTCTCCTCTTGTTCGTCTTGGTAGCATGGTGGTGCTGGTGCTGACGTCAATGGCTGAAGGGGCGTGACATTTTCTTCGAAGGAGCTCTCCGGGCGAGTTTGGAAACATTTGCAACCTGTCGATGCGGATACCCCGATGTTCGGAGAGAGTTTTCGGCTTGCCTCAAAATTGCAACTTTCAGCGTCAGTCTGCAAATCTGAATCTATGGAGAAGTGCTGATTCCAAGTCAACAGTCGCCCCATCCCGTCTGCGGCTGTCGTCACTCGTGGGACTGCGAAGTGGCATCTTTGCGTATGTGTACTCCCACTTTGTTTTGCTGCCGGAGAACTCGAAAAGCCTGCGTCCCGAAGATGCTGGCTTGCAGCCCTCAGTTTAAGTCTAAGTCTTCATCTGTACATGCGCACTGAGGTGAGCAAACAGGCCTACTCTTTTGCCTGGATATTGAGACAACGGAGACATGCGTACATACATATTTATATATATATATATATGGATATATATATATATATATATGTATATTCGAGCAGAAACAGAAGAAGACACACACAGACACACACCCATGGCTATGGTCCCTGTTTGCCTGCAGTCGCAACGGCGCAGGCTCGGGGGATGGTTGAGGCAGCACCTCCGAGTAGGAGCCTTAATAATTAGAGTAGTTTTTGTTTGGGGGGGGGGGGGGGTACTTTATACTATACTTATAACTATAAGGAATCCCCTCGAAATAGTATAGGTAATGATTCAGGCCCCCTACTTCTGCATTAGACACAGGCTGCTGCGATCTCGGGTTTAGACCGAACAGTTCGGGCTGTCAAGGCCTGATCCGGCGACTGCAGGGCGGTTCTTTGACGAAAAGCTCGAGCGGTTGAAGGGCATGGGGCATGGGGTTTAGGGTTTAGGGTTAGGGTTTAGGGTTTATGCCTTCAGATCATTCTAGTCGAGCTGTCTGTGGGCCCTGTGTGCCAAGCATGGGGCTTTGAGGGTGCAGTTTCCGGTGTCGCAGGACACTCGAAGCCTTATTTCATCCGTCGACTGTCTAGTCTTTTCCCTCCTTGAGTTCTGGCCTCGCAGTTTCAGGCTTACAGATGGATAGACTAGATATGATGGGATCATCGACCAGATATTTCATTATTTGCAGCTCGACGAGGCATCCAAGGCAACACGAGTCGCAAGACATTCAGCAAGAACCCTATCTCAACTTCAGTAGCACGGAACAACAGCCAATGATGCCGAGAGCGTGGATTCATACTGGTACTAGTGCGCAGAATGCTATATACTGGTAACCGTCATGATTCATGGTAGTAACGATACTGCCAGAACTGGTCCACTGAAAGCATTCCCAATCCCTCTTGCCGGCCTCTGGCGCAGGGCCGGGCCTGTTTGCTTGCTCGGTTCTTGGGACAAAGACAAGAAACTCCGGATGCTGGGTCAGAGGCTTGCTAGTTTGCAACATGTGAGGGGCTGAGAATCTCTCGTTGCGAGGAAAAAGCCTTCGCTTCGAGCTTATGGCTTTCGATTTTCTTGTTTGAAGACCTCCTCAAGATCCGAACACGCCTTGCTGCAGCATACTGCTTGTCAAAGGCGCCCGGGTTCAGCTCAGTTGTCCCCGAGATGTGAGGGCCAACAATTGAGAGTTGGGTCCTGACACCTTCGATGTGGAGACAAACCAAATGCATAAAAACATGTGACATCCCGCCGGTTGCGCCGGGAAGGTATTTTCTTGCTAGCTGTATCATGACTTAAAAGCTGCAGTGCGCTCTATAGCCCGAGACACCAAACTGGTGCGACCAGTCTTTCCGAATAAGCGACAGCGGCGGAGCATCGTCGAGCCATGGTGCTTAGGCAGTTACGCCGTTTGCGGTTGTTCTTGCACAAACAGGTGTGCCAGACCCATATTTCTACGATTCGCTCTGTCGGCAGAAAGTCGTGGGTTAACGGAAGCTTGAAGCCGTTTCGCTGGATGTCATCACAATCCCGAAAGAAGCTTTATGGGTCGCCTGTAGATCCGTGGTGTTGCTGCGACTGGCTGCTGCGGCTCCTGCGACCATGGAGATGGTGTCTAGTCTTGGGCTTGAGGGCTTGTTACTTGAAGTGCGGGCTGCGAACGAACGGCCACAGGCATAACACGCACTGAGGGGTGATACGAAGACGAGGCTGGGTTGGCCCATATTTCGTCATTATGTTGAACTCCTTTCTGGAGGGGCTTCCTTGCCAGCCCAAGTGCGCCTGGCTCTAAGGGAGTTGCGCAGAAGCACAGAGCCTTCTACATCCCATCCTTGATGTCACTTCTGTCCACTGCCTTTGTCGCAGTTGCGGCGTCTGAAGACACAATCCAACACACCGATGAAGCCTTCATGTCCATGCGAGGTCTGTGGTTGACTTCCACGTACCCAACAGAATCTAACATGTGCATAAACTCCAGATTTCCTACTTCTGTTTCAGTTGCTTTTCAACGACGGCCGCTACAGATAATTTGGAACCAGACGCGCACCAGATAAACAAATGTCTCGAATGTGATTCCCAGAGTTACAGGGCTGACAGCGACACTGCGACTGATGAGAATCGTCATCATCATCATCATCATCATCATCATCATCACCGTCAAAAGACCATGCAGTCAATGATTTCTCAACTCCTGCCGTCATCCCAGCTACTCGTGATAATACGAACCTACAATCCCAAATTCCCAACGCTAAAGCCTAAAATCCTCACAACCCAAAAACCTGCGCAAAAAGCCTGAATCCCAATATAATGGGCCTTGATACTTCCAATAAGGTTTCTCGGTAGAGTAAACAGTGTATAATTATAGGCAAGACTTTGTAATTCTGTAGATGCCTACATTGATCAGTCAGTGATCCTGCAAACCCTAAACCCCTGATCCCTAGACCCCTATACCCCTAACCCCTAAACCCCTAAACCCTAAACGCTGAACCCTAAACCCTAAACCAAAGCCAGCACCTCAACGTTCGCTGCGGGTGGAATCGCCCCGAGGCCGGTGGCCACGAGGACTTTCATACAGATCTGAGGTTCAGGGTTTAGGGTTTAGGGTTTAGGGGTTAGGGTTTAGGGGTTTAGGGTTTAGGGTTTAGGGGTTTAGGATTTAGGGCTTCATGTCTCAAGCTGCTTATGTTGATTGTTGAAAAGGAAACAGATAAGATCCGACGGGCTCACTCGTCTTTGACATTTGCCGCCGTTGCCACTTTCATCATTTACGCTTGGAAAGGCCACCATCGTCTTCTTGAAATAATGGGTTGCCGTATGCTGCCATTAACTGTATTTCCATGCCTGCAGAGCATCTCATCAAAGAGCCTAAGTGTTTCTTCCAGCTTCTTTTCTTCGAAGTTCAGCAGTTCTAGGGGGAGCAATTTCAACAGAACTCTTGGAGTGCGCTTTTAGGTTGACGGTTATTGGCTACTGTTTGGGCTGCTGCTATTTTCCTTTGCTGGCTGTGCTTGGGTGTTTTGTTTCTTGGAGTTGAAAGCTGCGGACGTCCTTAGTCCCAAATACCTAAACCCATCTAAACCCCTAAGCCGAAACCGCTTTGAGCTCAAACCCGTAAATCGCGACACTTCCCTGAACGACAGGAAAGGCGCTTGCTGCGTGCTGGCTTCTGCGTTTACCCCCAGCGAAAGGTTCATGATTTTCTTGAAGACAGGTCATACCGTGACTGTGATGTCCCATGCCACGCCGAAGCTTCCAGCTCTGCAAACGACCCCTATATCATGTATCTCTACGTAATTACAATGTTGTGCACACATACGTACATACATGCATAGTCGCCACTAGTCACCAGCCCTTTTAAGCCGTAACGCCGACCGCCAACACAACGCCGCATGCGCTGCCTCCACCGACGGCGCCTCGCGGTACCTTCCATGCCATGGTTGCAGCATCAGGAGGCGTGATAGTCGACAGCAGTGATAAGTATGTACCATTCTTGCTGCTACTCGCCGTGCAAAAGCATCAGCTGCAGTGTTTCCCGGAATAAAAACCAACCGAGCAAGCTAAAGAAGCTGAGATGTTGTGTTCGTCACAGCACTCTCCAAGTGCAGCCATGGTACATATGCATGAACCAGCGATGGTCATCAATCTCCGTGGACCTGATGATGGGCGTGCTCGCATTTTGTTGGTGGGCTAGGGTTGTGCGGCTGACGTCTCCATGCACAGCGGCAATTTCATGATTCATCACGCACAATCTCCGGCGGTATTCCAGCCCTCCTTGTGCTTTTACTCTTAAAGAGTGCAAGTCGTACGCTCAGCCGCAATAGGGTTACTGAAACCATCATGAACCCCTGCGTCCTGTTTGCACATGCGCTGCAATCCCGCGCCGTGTGTGGCTTCGTGATTTTCGTGTCTATTCTGTATCACAACTCAGTATAGAATGGGCATTGCGCGGTGGAAACGAGTGAGGCTCGGAAGGTACTTCCATGTGGGCTCTTAAGCTGCAATGTGCAGATATGCAGGGCCCCCATCCTGCATACCCCCATATCCTCCAGAACCGAAGGACGTGGACGGATGGGGCCTTTGTTTTGCTAGTGTGGCGCATTTGTGGTCGTGACACCTACACTCCATCTACCGCCGTCTTGAGTGTCTGGGAGGTCTCCTCATCATTGCTTGCAAGCCGCTATTGCGAAAGTTCATTGCATCTAGCGCCTTGATCGTCCTGTCTGTGGCGAGGTTGAACCCGTTCAATATCGAATACGATCGTGATCATGATAACTTTGATACTTGTAGAATTCCTGCTCCTCGGTATGACGGGCATCGTCATCGTCGTGATCTTCGCATTGTGGTTGCCTTTTGCTTTATGCTCGCATCGTGGCTCCTGGTGACAGCAGCAGGAGTGCCATGACCGGTCGCCGGCATGTGTTGGCTCTCACAGATGTGAAAAAACACCGAGCCCCAGGCTTGAAGAGATCTTGGAGTTCTGGGACCAGTGCTAAGAATCCTGCAGTCATGTCAAGTGCTCTGAAGTGCGGGCAGAGAGCATAAAACTTTACAATGCTGACATCAACGTCCTCTTCAGCCTAATGCAGCATGAAAGCCCTACCTACGTAAGTCATCTAAACCCTAAAACCCTCCTAGCAACAGATGGGGGTTTCCGAAAGTAGGGGACCCTGATATAGTACCCTAAATAGTAGGATCCTTATTATAAGGACCCCTAAAATAAGGTACCCCAATTTTCGGAAACTCCCAGATGGGTCCAACGATGAGACCCCAGGCCCGGGACCATGGCCTCCGCAACTTAGGCTCGGGTCTTCAGGACTCCGGAAACCGCAGCACACAACCGATAAATTAATAGATAGACGGGCACACACACACACACGCATATATATATATATATATATATATATATGTGTATATTGTTACGCATGTCTATGCATACATACATGCACACATACATACATATGTGAAAACACAGAAACACCTAAGAGAAAACATACTACAAGATCGAGTAGTACATCCTGAGAGAGAGAGAGAGAGACAGATCGATAGATAGATAGATAGATAGATAGATAGGTGGATAGATAGGTGATAGACCGATCGAAAATAGATAGATGAATGGACGGCTAGATAGATGTCTATCTGATAGACAGAAAGATGTATACCCTGGGCCCGAAACCCAAAAACCCTAAACCCGAAAACCCTAAACTCTGAAACCCCAAAACCCCAAATCCTAAAACCCTAAAGCCCTAAATCCCTAAATCCCTAAAACCCTAAAGCCCTAAAACCCTAAATCCTAAAACTCAAAAGCCCTAAAACCCTAAAGCCTTAAATCCTAAAGCCCTAAAAAGCCCTTCACTCACCTCTAAAACTCTAAAACCCTGAATCCTAAAGCCTTAAATCCTAAAGCCCTAAATCCTAAAGCCCTAAAAAGCCCGTCACTCACCTCTGGCTCCTAGGCCAGGCCTCGGTGCTCCAGCCACTTCAAGGCCAAGGTCGCAGGAGTGATGCCGAGCCTGGCGGCCGCCTGAAGCTGTGTTATTCATCGTAATTATTATTACTATGAAGGAGTATTAATTATTATTAGTAATGATTATTACTATTGATTATTATTATTATTGTTGTTGTTAGTGCTATTATATAGTTGGTATATATGTAACTTGATAATGTTTGGGTTTAGGGTTTAGGGTCAAGGGGTTGAGGGTTTAGGTTTTATATTACCATGTAATGTTAGGTTATATACGGTTAGTTGTACAATGCTATATACTCTTACATATTGTCATCTATCGTAACATCTTGTTATACTCCATCATATCTTTTATTTATCTTTTAGTATCTGTTATTATTGGGTGATAGAAGACCTCTGCCTGGGTTTAGGGGCTCAGGGTAAGCCGAGTTTGGGGCCGTTCACTCGTGAAGCACGGGGTTTAGGGTTTAGGGTAACCCTAAACCCTAAACCCTAAACCCTAAACCCTCTCCGAGGCTGGGGCAGATTGTGCGTGAGGCGTCTGGATCCAGCTCTGGTCAGGTCCGAAGACCTGGGCCATCAGAAAGCAGCGAGCACATCTCTGCTGCGAGCCTCTCCTGAACGACCTGGCTATGGTGGGGAAACTAAAATAGCTCAGGATGCTTTTCTGTTGGATTTAGGGCCTCTTGAAAACCGGAATCGAATAGGATGCTTTTCTGTTGGGTCTAGGGGCCTATTGAAAAACACCGGAATCGAATCAGATCCCCCCTTTTTCACCTGGGGCTTGGACGTTGTAGGCCATGGGCAGGATCCCCAAACCTGGGTCGCCATGTCTGGTGGTCTGTCTCACTGGCATTTTTCAGGGCCCCCTTATTACCCATAGTAAGGAATATATACCATAATTCTCATAGTTTAGGGCCCCTTATTACCCATAGTAAGGAGTATATACCAGAATTCCCATAGTTTAGGGCCCCTTATTACCCACAGTAAGGAATATACTTTGAGCCCTGTGCTTTCCGTGATCCGCCCAGCTGGGCCGCTTTTCCGGCAGCTCTCTTTTGTCGGTCGCGCAGCAAAAGTTTTGGATCCCTCGTGAAGCATTGACAACATCATGCGGCCAGCACACCCGGAACTCCGATGGGCAATGCTAGTAATAGTAATAGTAATAGTAATATATTATATAGTAATCATGATAGGACTGGGAATAAGAATAGTGATGGTAATTCTAGCATCCTGTCAGCTGCATCCGGGGGGCTGGCCAGGGGGCATGAAGGCACATTCCAAGCCGCATTTGCGCTGGCTGCACATCCTTTCCCTGGGCTTTTCGCCCAGGACCGCCCCCCGAGCACATGGTGCTGCTGTCTTGAAATGGCCAAGCCACTCCTGAGATTTATGAGGACTTCCGATACAGGCTGCGCCGCCTGGAACCACATCTCATGGATTTTGAGACCAAGCCCTCAACATCCCCAGACCCCATAAAATCCCTAAAACGGGAGCCCTAAAAGCTATAATCCCGAAACCCTTCACATCCCTGAGTCGAAAATCCGGGGGCTTTCAGCCAGAGTCATCCTTTGCCTTCACGGTGTTCACCTGGGACACGGATTGGAGGTCCGCAAACCAGGCTTCCGGGTGGAAGCTGTCGGAGTCCTCGGAAGACAAGGCTCCGAAGCATCCACGGTTTAGAGTTTAGGGTGTAGGGTAAAAGGGATTCAAGGAGTATGATTTTGTTGATGATGCTGGACATCTTGAAGGATGAACCCAGTGACCTAGTGCACAAACTAGCTGGAGTACGAAAACAAGGCATCGTAGTACGCAGGGCGGCATGGCCAACTTAGCCCCAGGCGTGGTCGTAGATCACGGTGGAGCAACAGCAGTTCACCACCCTTGCATGTCAGCTTAAGTCGGGAGGGTGTAGGCCGTAGGCCTTCGGTCGGGAGGGCTTACGGAAGCAAACTCCCGATGCGAGTCTGCCTGCGCGCTTCCGGTCTCTGCCTAGTGAACCTACCATCATGCTGGAGACTCCCTGACATGGGGTTCTATAGCTGCTCATCTTGCACCCGAGCAGCGGCTGCTTCACCAACCTCAGTTCTCCCAGCGCAAAACATCGAGCCCTGATCGGCCTTTGTTCCTGTTTTTAAGGGATAGATCACGCATGAGGCACTGTGCTCCGTCCTTCTTGCGCCCTGAACGCCATCTTTTTGCTGCCACAGCTACGTGGCCGCATAGTCGGAGAAAGGCACACCCTTCCGGAGCGGCGCCTGGATTACAAGGTTGAAAATCTTGGGGGGAGCCCTCGAGCTGGAAGCACTCGGAATCTAAAACCTAGGCGAATATGAATATGTACTTGGAGGATCATGGGACTTAGTAAGTCAGGTTATAAGTCCCTTAACTGGGGTTATAAGTATAGTTACCCTAATTATATCCCTACTTACTAAGTCCCATGATCCTTTAAGTAGGTATGAATGTATGCTCGTCATCTGGCACCTCGCCGCTTTCGATCTGAGCCGCGGTCCAGCGAATCCTCGGTGCGAGGATCAGGCATAGCTAACTTTGAAGTCAACACGCGTCCAGGGCAACTTCTCTGCAGCTCCGAAAAACAAAATCAACTGCAACTCCTTGTCAATCCCGACAGTCAAAAGACACCTGATCTCCTTTAAGCCCTCTGGCGCTAATCTGGTGCCTGTCGATCTGCGGCTTCTTCTACTGGGCCTCTATCGTCGGTTTTACTTCAGGCTCGCTCGTGCCGTACGTTCCACGGCACAGCCTTGCTTACCCCTAGTAGACAACCAGCGAGCCTGAAGCCTCACACCTACTGCTCTGGCTCACAGCCATCACAGACAATCTCTGCAAATCGAGCTGATTGCAAAGGGCGCGGCATGCCGCCGTGGGCCACAACGACAACAACCTGCAAACTGCACTATCACATATACCCCTGCTATCCTTTGAAAGTGCTTGATGGCTGTAGAAGAAGCGTGGGGGCTCACAAACTCCTGCGAGCTGGTGCAAGCGCCGTTCAGTAGCCGGCGAGCCTGTTGCAGAACACGGACCTCGAATTCCTCAACTCAAGTAAGGCACAATTCGGAAGACACAATCCCCAAAACCCCGTGCCACCTCGCCGAGCTTCGCAGCATTGCGAAGTGCCGAAAGCGAGCGCGACATGAGTGAACAGCCGTCCTCGCCCTCAGGGTAGCCCTGCCACAAGTGCAACAAGGGAAATGGGACACCCCTTCCTCCCCTCTCACGGCTGTTAGCATCTCATGTTTGCAGTATTGTTCAGGTGCTTTGGGTCTGGCGGCTGGGATGGCGGGGAAGAGGCCCCTCAATTCGCATTATCCGAACTCGACTTCAGAGGTGGGGTTGATGCTTCATCAACAGAGGATTCACGTGGATGAGGCTTCTTTAAGTCCAGAGCCTCGCAACCTAAACCCTAAACCCTAAACCCTACACCCTAAACCCTAAATCCTAAACCCTAAACCCTAACTAAACCCTAAACCCTAAATCCTTGAAGTCTTACTTTGAGTTGCTGGCGATAGCCCTGCTGAGGCCTTGGAGAGGTCGCCTTGCAGCCAGGCCTGCCCCCCGCGACTTTACGTTAGAGTGGCACCCTTGCTTCATGGTTTAGGGTTTAGGGTTTAGGGTTTGGGATTCAGAGTTTGGGATTTAGGGTTTAGGGTTTAGGTTTTAGGTCTTAGGGTTCATGTAGACCAGGCTGATGAAACAATGCCGGGCTCTTTTCGGAAAGAAGAGCTTGGAGGGTGCTTTGGGTCAGTCGCGTCGCAGCCGGGCTTATTCTTGGCTTTGGATTGACACCAACTGGGTCGGCAACCTATAATAATATGTTATAGTATGACTTACTACTACTAAAAAAAAATAAATAAATAAATAAATAAATAAATAAATATATATATATATATACTATGACTATGACTTTAATATACTGTAATACTGGCAGAAGTCATGCCGACCTCACCCTGCCAACAAACCAGGAGCAGTGCCATGAGATCTCTCAGCTGTTGCCAAGAAATCTGAGTTTCCTGCATCGAATGCTGAAGAGAACACCGTAAATATCACTGAAGGGGCCCCCACCCCTCCAACTTCCCCCCCACGGGCTCCCAAAAAGGCCAACCAACAACAACGATAAGGACACCAAGACGATGGGGCTGGCAAGTCCCCAAAGTCCGAAGTTGTTGCTGTTCAAAAACACTGGTGGATACTGTCCGTACTCCCAACCTTACACTGTCACAGACCCGGAATGTCCAAGTCCTGAGGTCCCTAAGCCCTCTGGCTATCGCTCAGGGCCCTCAGCCCAGGGAGTCCCGACTCGACACAGGAGAGTCAGCAAACACCCATGCCAGGGCCCCTGCATTTATGTTCGCCGTCTGGAGCGCTTTGCCTGGCATCTGGGATTCAGAGAACGTGCCAGCATGGGGTGGTCTGAAAGTCCCAGCCGATATCTACCAGCTACACTGCCACCCCGTCACCCCAAACCATCTGACACATCAAACTATTCGGCTCGGCGGCTGTCAGGGCAGTCTGAGCTCGATCCCTGAAGCTTGCCGAAGTTGATCTCCCGGAAGCCTGAGGGCGGAGCCGATTGAGGTTTTGGGCTTGGCAGGGTTGCGGAGGGTTCCGGGTGAAGGATGGATTAGTGAATAGGGTTTCAGAGTTTGGGGGGCTATTGGTACCTTGGGTTTGGGGGCTCGCTGCGTGGATTCGAGGTTGTCTAAGCAGGTCCCTTGGCCGTGGATGCCTCCCTCAGAACTTCAGGCAACATGGGCACGGTGGTTGTTTTACGTAAGTTATTTGATGCTCTCTTCAGGCGGACAGAGGTGCTGGGAGGACCTGAAGAGATCCGGGCTTCGACATCACGCGAGCTAGCTACGGAATTTGGAGCCTCTATACGAACAGCAGCAACAAGAACCACAACAACAGCAATAGTACCACCACCACCACCACCAC